AAAAAAAAAAAAAAAAAAAAAGAAAAGGAAAAGAAAGAACAGTCTAAGAAAAAGTGAAAAAATGATAGAGTTGAATAAAATAACTGGCTTGACTAGGGCTGAGGGTTGATGTTGGGAAGAAATGGAAAACAAATGAAATGGATTTAGCGGTGCCGTGTTAGAGGTGTTGAGTGCCAGAGGGATTTACATGTATTGAGTCTGGGGAGCAAAGACGAAAATTGGTAAATATGGGAGTAAAGATGGAAATTCTTCCATATTGCTTGAATTTGTTACACAATCTATATTATTTTTGTTAGTAAAAACATTGAGATAGAAATATTTTTAAAACATGTTTGAGGCCTTATTGTTTGCTGGGTATGGTGCTACTATTGATTTCCTTCAGTCAAAGACTCCTAGGAACATATCTGTAGTTGAACAAAGTTGGGTTTATTGTCTTGTTGCAATGAGAAAGAAGACATGCAATGATGAACCATGGGGCATGTCAGCAGGAGGGCATCTCAAATAGCAATTCCATTTTATCATTCTAATAAAGACAGGCTTTGAAAACTTTTTAGTCGATGTTGAAGACCAGTTAATTAAGGTTTAAGTAGTAAGTGTTGAAAATGTATATAAGTGGGGCACACTTCCAGGTGAAATATACAACCTGTAACTGCTCAGACTGAGGACTAAAAGGCTGCTGAAGGAACTGATAACATCTCTTGGTTCTTCATTAGAACTTGTAAGTATGGCACATCTTTGGCTCATGAATTTTGACTTATTCTCATTCCAAACAGGATATTTCTCAGAGCAAGTTTCATGTCCTTATTACGAAGACTATAGATCAGAGGATTAAAAAGAGGAGTCACTACGGAATATACCAGTGTGAGGATCTTCTGCAATAAAGTTGGGGCATCATATGTAGGACTTACGTACATTACCATGACTGTACCATAGAAAAGAGATACCACAAGCAAATGAGAACCACAGGTAGAGAAGGCTTTTCTCCGACCAGCTGCACAAGGGACCTGAAAAACAGCTGTTATCAACAGGGTGTAGGATCGAAGAATGTACATACTAGTGAAAAAGAGGACAAGCGAGCTCTGAGTATAGAAAATACATTCAGTTATGGGAGCTGGGGCACAGGCTAGAGCCATCAAGGGGTCCATGTCACACAGGAAGTGATCAATGATATTAGGACCACAGAAGGGGAGTTGGGAGATGAAGAAAATGGGAATTGGGTATTCAAGGAATCCAATGAGCCAACAGAAAGACACCAGCTTACTACAGAACCTTCCAGTCATGATGGCGGGATACTGCAGTGGGTGGCAGATGGCTAGGTATCGATCATAAGCCATTACTGCCAGAAAGAGACATTCAGTTGTTCCCAGTGAAAAGAAGAAATAGAACTGAAAGAAGCACCCAGAAAATGAGATGGCCTTGGTCTTGGAAAGAATGTTGGCTAGCATGTTAGGAACAGTGGAGGAAACATACGAGATCTCAAGGAAGGCAAAGTTTCCCAACAGAAAGTACATGGGGTTGTGTAGTTGTGGGTTGCATTTCACTGCATAGATGATGGCTCCATTTCCCAGCAAGGTCAAGACATAAATCACCAAAAACAATGAGAAGAGGAAAATCTGTATCTTCCAGGAACCAGGGAATCCCAGGAGAATAAACTCTGTTACAACGTGTGTTGCTGACTTGTTCATGGATCTTAAATCTACGAAGAAGAAAGACATGAGTGTAATCCAAATTTCTTTGCTTTCTACACATCTCAAGGCCTTTGTCAAGATGAGAACTTGAGCTACACAGGAAAATATGGAAGATATTCTGAGACCAGGTGGGAATATATCCTACCATATTTTGAATTGATTGTGGTTCTAAGTCTCAGTGTTATTTTGCTAGAATCTAATGCAGCTAGAATTTTCTACATTAGTGGCAGAACTAGACAAATTCTTTTCTTTCTTTTGATGCTCGAGAAGACCTTTTCAGCTTTTGATTTTTTTTTTCCAATGTTGATTATGGGTTTTCTAGCACAATCTTATCAATTTTCTCTTATTTAGCCTAACTTGTTAAAAGAGACATTTTGAGGATAACTGATATGAAATTGGGTTAGATCTTTGACAACAAAATAGTTTGCTGCATAGAGAGACAACTCCATGATAATATTTAAAAAATATCTCTAATGATTTGGCAGTGTTTATTTTTATGTTTTTTACACATACGATACAAAAAGGAACTATCTTACTTTTTGTAATCAGATACCATGTAGATGAAATAAAGAAAATGACATTTTCAATACAAAAATTTAGTTTAGTGAGCATTTTGTTTGATAAAAGCAAAGGGATTTTCTAAAAGAATCTGAGATCAAATGGGGTTTTGTGTGCAATCTTATCTAGTAGAATTTTGTTTACTGAAAGGAAGGAAAGGACATTTTCAAATATTTGACTAGGTATGTACTTTTCAGTAGCAACAAATTTATGTATTTAAGATTTAAATAAAATATACAAACGTGTTTAAACAACAGTAATCTCATACTTGATTAATACTTAAAATGTGCTGATTAAGCCTTAAAATAGTGATAGTTTTGGCTGGGCACAGTGGCTTATGCCTGTAGTTCCAGCAATTTGGGAGTCCAAGGTGGGCAGATCACTGAGGCCAGGAGTTTGAGACCAGCTTGGCCTACATGGTGAAACCCCAACTCTACTAAAAATACAAAAATTAGTTGGGTTTGGTGGTGCATGCTTGTAATCCCAGCTACTTGGGAGGCTGAGGCAGGAGAATTGCTTGAACTCAAGAGGCAGAGTTTGCAGTGAGCGTAGATCTCACCACTGCACGCCAGCCTGGGCAACAAAGTGAGACTCCACCTCACCAAAAAAACAAAAAACAAAAACCCCCCAAAACAAAAAGGTAGTTTCAATATTGAGTTTCTTGTTAAGTTAAGATCTCTTGTCTTGTGTATTGTAGGTCACCAGTCATAACTTCGTCAGGAACATAAGAGAAAAATGTGAAAGGCAATAAAGAATACAGAATTTGGAGGAAGGATCATGTATCCTTGGGAGTACATGATGTGGAATACATGTGGAAGATTTGAACTTCCATATCACTAGCTCTGTGGTAGTTTTTAAGATGCATAAAAAAGGAATTTTGGAGCATCAAAGTTCTGAAGTTGTCCAGCTTTTTAATTAATGGTGAATTTAAAAGGTATTTGTTTACCATCTTCCTTGAATAAGGTGCTCAGTAGGTGATTTCCACATTGTTATTTATGAAACATAAATAAATCACTTTCTCTACTATACACAGGTCAGAGAACAATTCCAGGCTCAGATTTAAATTGGGAACCAGAATTGGGAGATCTGAGCCTCCTGCCCTTTGTTCTGAAAAATGGACCAAGCCTGCTTGATGAGAATAACAGTTTAGGACATTCTCCGTTATGCACTGACAACTTCACAGCACATTTCATCTTTTCTACTACCCTACTCCGTAAGTACTTTATTAGCAGCAACATTGTTTTTCCTGAAGACTTTGGAGAAGTATAGATAAGTAATGGAATGATCGAAGGGTGGGGAGCTTAATAGAAAAACCCAAGGAACCAATTTCAGAGTTTCTGCATTGATGGAATAACCTGATTCCACAAAGTTCCATATGACATCCCCCTCCAAAGTCTCCAAAATTCTGTCTGGGAATAGTTAGGTAATTAGAATGGAATATTCATTATTTTATGCCACAAACATATTGTTTCCCTTATTTTTGAGATATATCATTATTTGAGCTACAATCCTAGGAGACCAGCTCTTTCATGCACTGTACTCCATTTCAGTACAAGAAACCACCAATCCACCCCCCAGTCCACCACCCTAAGTGTGATAGCTTGATTTAATAGCCTTCTTTCGAATGTCCCTCATTTAGTATACTGTCTTCCCAGGTAACCTGAGAGAAGGACATACCACCTGATTACTCCCGGCAAGTAGATTGTTTTCAGAAAGATGGTTAATAATCACAAAATCATAGAATTAGAAGAAATGGTATAATGATCTAACTTCATTTTACAAATGAGGCTGAGAGAAGGGCATGACTTTTTATCCAATGAATGTACATCCTGGATTCACATATGGAAATTTTACCCTGTGCTATTATACTGCCCCCTTTGAGTCTTTGCAGAGAAACAGTGCCTAATCAGATTTATAAAGTCAAAGAGACACTGTAGTATATCACAGCAGTGGTTGTAGCTCAGACCATGAATCCTTTTCTTTTTCTTACACACAGTGATGGCTTTCCTGGCTCAGCTTGGAGAGGGCGGTGGGCACGGGAGAATTGAGCATAACCTCAGCATCAAGCATCTCCTCCTCACTGGCTCTGATGAGGAAAATTCCAGGTGAGGGCATTATATGTGGTTTGTTGCCTTTCATTCCTGGAAACTCCAGAGGCTTTTCTCAGAATTTGCTGAGATGTTTAACATGAGAATCTATGTTTCCTCTCAGGGATTACTGTAAAGCTCTGTGTCTCTCCCTATGTGGTCTCAGTGGCTTACCCAAATTTCCCTGGAGAGCATTCTCTTTCCCACCCTTGGGGCTCACCTAGAATTTTGTATATTATCTTGTATATATGTATTATTAATTCTAGTATATTGGCTAGAATTAGGGAAACAGAGGAGCCAGGGAATCACCAGACAAATTTCAAGCGGCTTTCTATTAGAAACAGCTTGCGTTCTATTAAGGAGTGATCCTCTGTGGAGATCAGTGAAATAAATGGTAGTTTTGCCTATGACTGTAGTTCTGAAGCTGAGACATATTGGTAAACACATCTTTCTCTGTAGCTTAAATGAAGTGCTTTAACACAGAGAATGCACAGAATATACAGAAAAGTATATTCTATTGGTCACTAAAAAATCAAATTCACTAAATATTCTTGAAGTCTTTCACTGTAAAGACCACGCGGTTGGTGTTGGGTGGGAGCAGACTTGAGTGACCCAATAATGTGTAATTAATGTGCAAGGAATTCCAAAATTGTTCATGTACAAAATCATTGAATCGACAAATTTAGTCAAATTGTCTGTTTCCACTCATTTCACTTTCTAACAGTGGATGATTTGAAACTAATGCAAATTAGAAATAGATTTAGCTTCAATTTTTTTTTTTTTGAGATGGAGTCTTGCTCTGTAGCCCAGGCTGGAGTGCAGTGGCGTGACCTCAGCTCACTACAACCTCCACCTCCCGGGTCCCGGTTCAAGCAATTCTCTTACCTCAGCCTCCCAAGTAGCTGGGATTACAGGCACGAGCCACCATGCCCAGCTAATTTTTGTATGTTTTAGTAGAGATGGGGTTTCACCATGTTGGCCAGTCTGGTCTCAAAGTCTGTACCTCAGGTGATCTGCCTGCCTTGGACCTTGTGATCCACCCGCCTCGGCTTCCCAAAGTGCTGGGATTACAGGCATGAGCCACCACGCCTGGCCTTAGCTTCAATTAAAAAAAAAATAATTGGCTTTTTGTTTTTCTCCTGAAAAATTGGGGTTTCTTCCTAGGATCCTCTTAATCTACTTCTTCAAAGATGACTCCTAAGGAAAGGTGACAATGATAAGCAAGGAGAAAATCTTCATTGACGGCTACTGGGGCAGCTTGTAAGTGAAATTAAGATTCAGTGACAATCTGTGCTACGAGTTCTCAAATTTTCATGTGCATATGAGTCACCTGGACATCTTGTTAAATTGCAGAGTCTGATTCAGAAGGTTGGGACCTGAGAGAGTGATTTTCTGACGAGCTCTTAGGTAATGCTGACCTTGCTGGTTCACAGGCCACACTGAATAGCAATGGTCTAGGCCAGTCATTAGAAGCACCTGAGGGGACTGTTTAACACTCCTTCTTTGGCTAGAGTCACACAGTAAAGAAGGAAAAAAAAAACAAAAACCTCCTGATATTCAGGTGTTATGGCAGACAAATTACGTAAAAATCTTTGGATGGAACCCCTGCATCGGTATTTTCTGTACTTAGTGATATGGTTTGGAGGTTTGTCCCCTCCAAATCTTATGCTGAAATATGTTTGAGGTGGGCCTAGTGGGAGATGTTCGGGTCTTGGGGGTGGATCCCTCATAACTGGCTTGGTGCCCTCCCTGCAGTAATAAGTTCTCTATTAGTTCACGCAAGAGCTGGTGATGAAAAGGGACCTGGCAGCTCCTCTCCTGTTCTCTCACCACCGGGTGACACACCTGCCGTCCTTTCATTTTCTGCTGAGTGAAAGCTTCCTCACAAGAAGCTGAATAGATGCTGGTGCCATGCTTGTAAAGCCTGCATAATGAGTCAAATAAAACCTCTTTTCTTTATAAATTACCCGGCCTTGGGTACTTTGTTTGTGTGTGATAGGGTCTTGTTCTGTTGCCCAGGCTGGAATGCAGTGGTGCAATACTTGGCTCACTGCAGTCTCTACTTTCCAGGCTCAATTGATCTTCCCACTTCAGCCTCTCAAGTAGCTGAGACTGCAGGTGTGTGCCACCATGCCTAGCTCATATATATATATATTTTTTTTTGTAGAGATAGACTTTCACTATGTTGCCAAGGCTGATCTCAAACTCCTGGGCTCAAGTGATCCTCCTGCCTGAGCCTACCGAAGTGTTGGGATTACAGACATGGACAACCACCTGGCCTCAGGTAGTTCTTTTATCAGTTCTGGGAGCTTTCTGGAGGAGTCTTTAGGGTTTTCTAGGTAAACAATTATCAGCAAACAGCAACAGTTTGACTTCCTGTTTTCTGATTTGAATGC